TGACTGGACCTTGACTCCAGACTTCTAATCTCCAAAACTGTAAGCCAATAAATTTGTTTGTTAAGCCATGCAGTTCATGGTACTTGCTATGGCAGCCCTAAGAAAATATAAAAACAAAACAAACAAACAAAACACATAAGGCATTCTTGAAGCACCTCCTATGTGCAAGGCAGGGACCTAAGCTCTGGGAGACAAAATAAAAAGACATCACCTCATTTCAAATGGCTCTGAGGGAAATACCTATGAAGAACAAATGTAAGAAAACACTGGTCATCTTTCTCACTGTGAGATGCCTCAGGAGACTCTCAAACAGAGAGGGATGGCGTCAGAACACTTTCTAAATGTGAATACCTGGGTTCCATTCCAAACTGCAATTCAGCCTAGAACTTTCTGGGTATGTCTGTTCATAAATGATCCAGATTCATTCATATTTTTAAATACCAAAATAATGGTGATGTGCTGATTAGGTATCTATATTCTAAAAACACCACATGTAGAGAACACTGAACACTGGCATGGCCACCAGTGGGACAGGGCTCAGGATCAGGAGGTCAGAGCTGGCGTGTAGGTTAAGCGTCTCCCTGCAGAGGCTGGCTCCAAACCGTGGAAGAACGAGTTCTCTGAGGTAAAGTCTGCAGAGAGAGGAAGCAGCAAGGCCTGAGGACATGGGCAGGAGGATGCTCAGATTTACGGAGAAGGACACAAGGACACCAAACAAAGATTCATGGGCACAGCCCAAGAGGAAAATGCAGGACAGGCAGTTTCAGGAAAGGGGAATAACTCCCAGAGGGTCTGAGGGAAAAAAGCAAAGAAGGGCCACTGTGCTTGGCACTCGAAGGATTGACATTGGCTCTGAGTCGCTGCCTCACTAAGCAATATGGTGAGCATATGGATATATTAGCTCACTTATTCTTTGCAATCAGGCATTACTGTGCTTTCTTTAAAATAAGGAAACTAAGCAGCAGAGAAATGAAGTGTTTGGGAGCTCATCAGTGGCCCACAAAAGCAGTCTTGGGGCAGTCGGGATCTTCTAGAAGAGAAAGACTAAAGGCAGCAGGCAGGAACAGTCTGCCAGGATCACCTGGTTGAGCGTCTGCCTTCAGCTCCGGGGGTCCGGGGATCCAGTCCCACATCGGGCTCCCCCCGAGAAACCTGCTTCTACCTCTGCCTATTTCTCTCATGAATAAATAAATAAAATATTAAAAAAAAAAAAAGGAATGGTCTGTCATAAGGGCAGGAAGCCTCCCACATACACCCCAGGAACGCAGGACTCTTGAAAAAGATGCCTCTGTTGTAACTGCTTCCAGAAGTCTCCAAACACACCATCATGAAGGTGGGCAAAATATACCATCCACCACACCCCTCCCCTTCTCCAGGGATTCAGGGAAGAGCACACAGAAGAACGGCCCAAGTGGCAGTGGCATCTGTGTGTGGCCAGCTGCCCCTTGGAATCCCAGGTGCTCAAAGTATGCTAAGCATCATCCATGATGGTGTCAAAGCCCCGGCTTGCCCTCAGTCACCTACAGCTCTAACGGGATCCTGGATTTTGTCCTCAAAGTTTACCTTCATCAGAAGCCACTGAGGCCTTTTACACCTTCCCACTTTGACTGATTGGAGTCAGCTCCAATCCCCCCAGCCTTTGCTCACCCCTGGTGCCTCCAGGAAACCCAAGTCATCTCAATAGGAAGGGCCATCCAGAGTTCTTGGCACCTTGCAGTGTTGTGGCCCACAATGTCCCAGGGAGGAACAATGATAGTGGAGGCACATCCCATGGCACTTTCAGGGCCTCCTTGCTCCTGCCTCACACTGGCCCGTGACTCAAGCCCAGGCAGCTGGCCAGGACATGGTGGCAAAATCACTCAGAACAGCCTCACAGTAACCACCAGTACCTTCTAGTGCAACCACCACCCAAGGACTTCAGTCCTGGGGAAACAGCTGGCCCCACCTTCCTCCACTCTACCCCAATTCTTCTGCAGTGAGTCACCGACACATCACAGATGGGCACTTAGGCTGCACACCTGGTCCGCCCAGCATATGAGGCTACTTGACACATGCTCTGCCCTCATGGCTCTGCCCTGTGCTCCTCACAGCCCTGGGGTTCTCATGTACCCACAGGAGGTGGCCAGGGAAAACAGGGGGACCCTGGCCCCACACTAGCACCACTTTTACCTGACTTATATATGAGGGCTCATAGTAATATTCTGATTTAAAAAAAAAAAGCAGATCCTATTGCTTTGAAAGTTTGAAAAGCACTGTTTAGGACAAATGGGCAAATCAAAGCACATAACTTGGTTACCAACTCCTGCTTGATGTGGAACACATGCCTTCTTTCCTTGGGAATACTTGATATCTCTTAGCGGTGACATGCCCTCTGGTGCCTCACAGCACCAGAAACCCTTCATGAACATCCGTCCAGGCCTGCAGCTTGGGTCTAACTCCAACAGCCCAATTCCCCACCTCCCCTGCCATGCATACAGGGACAGCTGCCATGGCTCTGGTCTTGTCACTCCCTCCAGCTTGGGCTGCTTCCTCAAAGAGTACTCCTGATTCCTCGCGTGCTAATAAGCAGCCTGTGAGCCCCTGGACAGCTCAGGTCCAGACAGGGCAGCAGACTGGCCAGGAGGGATACCCCCCAGCAGCACAGTGGCCCACTCCATCTAGTCAACAACACGTGTCTAGGTGGTTCTGGTTATGAGCTTTTACCCTCAAACTCTTTCTTTAGAGAATGTTCAAAGCTATATGCAGGCTGAGAATACAGTTCAACTACATAACCAAAGTACCATTATCACAAGTAAGAAAAGTAACATTTATTCAATAATATCCAGTAAGTGGTTCATACTCAAAACTGTACAACTATCTCAATATGACCTGTACGGGTTTTTTTTGATCCTGGATCTAACCAAGGTTTGCTCCTTATATTTGATATTAACCTCTCCTTAGTCTCCTCTACGCCAATTGTTCTGCACAATGTCCCATATCTGGGGTTTCTTTGTTTCCTTACTATTCAGTTTAGTTTAACAAGTTTGGCATGAATATCACATAGGTGATCCTGTGCAGTCCTTGACTGCATCACCTTGGAAGCCCATCCACCAGGCTGCCCCACTATTGGTGAAGCTAGATTGTATCGCTTGGTTGAAACACTGGCTGCCAGATTGCACCACTGTGCCTTCAAGTCAGAAAGTAACCTGTGAGGTGATACTCTGGGACTATGTGAAAATACTGTTCCACAATAAACTTCCACCAACTAGCTTTGCATCCACTGATGAACTGCCCTTGAGATTACAAAATAGAGATTTTCCAAATTTATCAGCTGAAGTTCTGTAGAAGAGCACTCTTTCTAAATCTGATGCTTACTATAAACTCATGAACTCTTTTAATTATTCAATTTGTCAAAACATATTACTGCCATTGCTTTTTGATGTTCACGTTGTTGGCAGTTTTGCCAGTGCAGTGAGACCCCCTTTCAAACTGGCTTCTGGGTCCTTTGCTAGGACCCCACTCATCTGAGTGCCACCTCACTTTCCCACACGAGATGTCCCCAGGCTTGCTCTGTACTTGCCTTGCTCCACTTGGAATCAGCCATTTTTCTGGATCCTTTGGTGGAACCCAACCTCTCTCCTTAAGCAGATAAGCAATATGACTTTCTCTCAACCTTGCTCTAGTCATAACCTCATTTCCCCTCCTTTACCCTGTCATTCATCATTTGAATTAGTGCTCTGTCCTTGGTAGAAAGTGGGGAGAAGAAGGGAATAAGAGAAGGAGAGAAGAGACCAAGACCAACAGTGAATTTAGGGCTGTTATCAACCATTTACCACTCAAAGACGACCTTTCTTTTTTATACATTAGTGGTCACCTCCATAGCAAAGCTTGTCATTATTTCATGATTCCATTTACAAAACTTCTGTTACCACATATCATACCATTTTACTGTTTTATTTTATGCTTATGCAAAATAAATGCACAAGAAAAATTACTACCTGCCCCTCAGTCCTCTTGTCCCCTTCCCTTGCTTTGTCTTCATCAGCAATTATTACTTCCTAAATTCTATGAGATATATTTTATTTTTTATTTTTTAATTCTCCCCCACAACTAGGAGATAAGTCCAAAAAGGACAGGCACTTTTTTGTTCCCTGCTTTGTTCAGTACTGTCCTCACAGTGTAGTACACTCTAGCACGCTACACTCACATGCCCAGTGCCTGAGATACGGAAGGCGTCTCCTAACTATTTGTGAATGAGATAAAGGGCTTGCCCAGGACAAGAGGTCTGGAGTTGAGTAGTGCCCCCTGTGTATCCTTTGGGCCCCTGCTTCAATGTCACCCCCAGCGGTCAGTTCTTCCCTTCCTGGTGTTCCCAGAGACCTTCTTGTCCTTCTGATCCTAACTATCATGTCAGCATTGTTCAGGGGTCTGTCTCACCTGAAGAACTTCGAGCTCCTCCAAGACAAGGACAAGGTCACACTTACCTTCACGGCCTAGCACTGAGCACAGAGGCTGGCACAAAAATCCCTGCTGACCTCCTCCACCCTCCACCCTAGTGCCCTTGCCTGTCGCCCAGGCTATGTGCTGGGCCTGTCCTCTCCGGTGGCCTGCACCGGGAGATGGGCTTCCACCCCCAGCTGCTGAGAAAGGCTCAGCCGCAGGCAGCTCACAATGGGCCCTTTGACTGGACAGGACTTAGCTTTTTCAGGAAAAACTCGTTCCCTGCCACAGCACCTGTCACGAAGGCCAGCATCCCTGCGGCTTTGAGGCCACACAGAGCCAGCGTTCACCAGGAAACAAGAGCAGGGGCAGGAGGCCAGCAGGGCCAGCCAGGCAGGGCGGCCTGACTTCTGAGAAGATGGAAGATGGGGTGGCAAGGTCGAGAGGGCCTTTTCATCAGCCAAGTCACTGACATTCAGACTCTGTGAATAGCCTGGATGGAGGATGGGAGGGGTAAGGGGTTCAAATAAAAGAGTGCAGAGAGGAGAACTTGTCAGAGCTTTGCCTCAGAGGCGGCTTACTTGTTCTTTTCTTTCAAGTTTCTTTTCACCTGGCTCCAAGGCTGGACTCTCGGGGGGTACTGTCAGCCGCAGTCTGCAGACATTTGCCTAGGAGAGAAAGGGAAGAGAAGCCAGTGAGGGACCCACATTTAAGGTAGAAAGATCTAGGTGACCCTGTGCTTCTCAGAGCCTGTGTCCCCCACTAAGCAATGAGGTGATCATACTGACCACACGGGAGCTCCAAAGAGAAGACCAGCCTCTGCATGGCCCAGAACAGGCACTCACCACTCTGCTGCTCAGAACAAGGACATCACCAAGTCATCTCACAACATTCATCTGTTTCTTTAAATGGCTCAAGTTCCAGAAAAGTGTGTACAGAATGATCATATCTCACGTGCTTAGGTCAGAACACGGCTAGGCGGATAGAGGTAAAAATATACACCGTGGTGATCGGACGGTGGAGTCTCTTTCTCGTTGACCATATGCTGAATTTTTCTCAAACAGACATGCGTGTGCATAAGCACAAAGTTTTATAAAAGTCTACACACTCATGTTCATAGCAGTGCTCTGCACAACAGCCAAAACGTGGAAGCAATACAAATGTCCATCAATGGCTGAATGGATAAATAAAATGTGGTGTCTGCACAGGATGGACTATTGTCCAGACTCAAAAAGGAAGGAAATTCTGACACATGCTGCAACATGGGTGAACCCTGAGGACATTATGTCAAGTGAAAGAAGCCAATCACACAAAGAGAAATGTTGTAGAACTCCACTTCTTAAAAAAAAAGTTTTTTAAGATTTTATTTATTCATGAGAAACACACACAGAGGCAGAGACACAGGTAGAGGAAAAAGCAGGCTCCCCACAGGGAGCCCGATGCAGGACTCGATTCCAGGACACCGGGATCACGCCCTGAGCCAAAGGCAAACGCTCAACCACTGACTCCACTTCAATGAGGTACCCTAATGTCACAGCCTGGTCCTGCTGTGACCTCCCAGGGAGAAGTGATCAGGCCACCAGAAAAGCCCAAAGAGGGTCCCAGCAGCAGACAGAGTACCCAGCTGCAGCCATGTGGGCTTGCCTCGTGGGCACGCTGCTTGTCCCTGATATGGACCGCACTGTGTCCCCCTAAAATGCCCTAAGCCCCAGCAGCACCTCTGAATGTGATCTTATTTGGAAACAGAATCTTCAGAGAGGTTAAGTTAAAAATGAGGTAATCAAGGTGGGTCCTAATCCAAAATGAGGTATGTCCTTATAAAAAGGGAACCCTGAAGATAGACACACTATAGGCAGATCACCACGTGAACATGCTGAAGAGAGAAGCCTGGAATGGATCGTTCTCACACATGCCTCACAAGGAACAAACCCTACCAACACCTTGATTTTGGACTTCTAGCTCCAAAACTATGGGGTCATAGAGGTCTGTTGTTTAAGCCACTTGGTCTGGTGGGACTTTTGACAGAAGCCCTAGCAAATTAATATACCTGCAACTTCATCTGCACAGCCACCTCTGAGCAAAACTACCCTGCAGCCCAGACACCCAGAATGGGATGGGATTGCAAAAAACCTTTGAAGTCCAATCTGCCAGCCTATGAAGAGGGTGCAGAGACTGAGGATGGCATCTTCCATGTGCAGGTAAGAAAGCCCATTGGAACATGTGTGAGTACTTCCACATACATTGTCACCTCCCTTTGAGACATCTCGTACTTCCAACTTCCTGATGATGAATTTATGTGTTCCCTCTGAACTCCTACCTAATGGACCCTGGGTTGTCTTCAGGGAAGACAACCCAATTTTCTTTTCTCTACAAAGGCTTCCTTCCTCTGAACCTCTTCTCCTCGAGATTTAAAACCCCAGCTCTTTCAACTAAATGACCTGATTTTGCAATCATACTCCATCTTCACTCACCTCTGGGCCAGCCTCATCCCCCAGGGCCCCGGAGCCACCACTGCCTCTGATGTGGCCAACTTTGCAACAAACCTTCAAAGCTTACTGCTAGTCATGTTGGCCAAAGACAAACTACCTATTCCAGCTAGGAGGTAGCTCTCATAGCCGACAGGTAATAGCACCAAGGAGAATCCGAGTTCCTCCAGAGAAAGGCAAACCTCTGACCACATGGACTCGCTGAAACCAGCTGGCATTTGCACAAGCATTGGAGTGCAATCCAAGTCTGTGACGTTCAGTAATCTTCTGTATAGGCTGATCTAATCCATAGCATAATTTTGCAGAGAAAAGGAAGTGCTTTTCTCCTACACCCCATTCCATACACACGTGTGTACCTACACATGGGTAAATAGATGCACACACTTGCACAAGTGTACAAGTGGTCTGGTGGGACGGTGGGACTTTTAACAGAAGCCCTAGCAAATTAATATACCTGCAACTTACTACTTTCCATGATAATATCAATTTGATCAATAGATCTATTGTAAGTGATACTTTTTGTAGGGTGATTGGTCTAGAAGGGTAATCCTTAATAGCAGTAATTTTTAGAATAAACTAAAGACTGAAGAGGAGACAAGGCCCAGAAGGCACCCCATCGGTCCAATCCCTCAAAAGTACAATATTCCCCTCCCTTATTTGAGACAATTCTTTATCTGTCCACCCAGTACTTTGATATTCCTCAACAGGCTTCCTGCAGCACTCAACAATGAGCCAAGTATACCCTGGGGTATGACAAAGCCACAGGATAAACAGAAAATATTTCTCTAAACCACCAGTTTTACCTGGTGTTAGATAATTAACTAACATAAAATGAACCTGTAAAATAACACATTTGCCTTCAAAGCTACCTGGCAATTGCAGCGGGTTCTTGAGGCCACACCCAGGCCCCTGTGGTAAATGTCCTCTCATGTCATTAGAGGTGCTTTAAGGACGGGCTACACATGGGGCCAGCATCTTCTCATCAGTGCTGGCCCTCTGATAGAGGAACCACACAGACACAGTTTAAATCCAGCATTGAAGAGGATCAGATGCCTTCCTAAAAAGATGGCCAAATGTGTTGTCATGTGAAAAAAAGAAAGTTGCAAGAAAAAATGTTAATAATAACCCCTTTTTGTTTTTTAAATATACTCTAATAATCTGCATAGGTTTATGGGGGGAAAAATATCTTTAAGGAAACATACCAGCTGGTGGTGGTGATGGTTATCTCTGTATAGTGGGATTCTCACATTGTTTCCAACTGTTTCAAGTATGTGTAAATTTTTTAATTAAAGATAATAGCAGTAAAAGCAATAATAAAGATTGAGAGAGACTGTATCGAAAAGAGAGAGCAACAGATGAAGCTTTCCTTGGTCCATAGGGCCGCCTCAGGAGCAGCAAAGAGAACAACCCAGAGATCTAGAAAACACTCTGAATTCCTCAACAGAAGCACAGAGTAACCCCTGAAGGTACCCACTTAGGTGGACATGGTAAAGTTAACCTCCTTTTATTCATTCACTTTCAGGAAATCTTCCCGTGGGAAAATTTCCCACTGAGTAAGATCAAGGCAGCATTGTTTATCTCTCTGAGCATTTTATGATACTGGTCTCCATGGTTTCCTTAAACTCGGATAATAATACCCAGAGCAGCCTAAGCTGGGCAATACTTGAGGAAGGTAGAGTATTTTATTCCCAGGGACTCCTGCAGCAGTTGGGTCAGCCTTATGTTCTGAACAATGAGAAGAACTGAATCTTACTTTCCCTGAACACCACAGCTACTGGGTTAGCTGTCCCTACATGCAAGGGTCCCTTCCAGTGGATCGAAAGCAGGAAAGTGGACTCAGTGTATGTCATCATTAGGTTACAGAACACCTACTACTTATAAAATACTTTTAAGGAAAAAAACTTTAAAAATAAAAATAAAATAAGTAAAAAATAAAATAAAATACCTTTACGGGCAATGAGAGTATCAAGATGAAAAAGAAACAGCCATGTTGCCAAGAGCTTAGAACCCAAAAATATACCCAATCAAGGCAAATAAGAACACTTAGCATAACCAGTATAAGGTCCTGAGAGGCAGGGTAGCTCAGTGATTAAGGCATGGTGGAACCGCACTTCCTTTATAAAGGAGTAGGAATATGAAAGGAACAATAGTCTTAACTGGGGGGGGCGGCATATATCAAAGGCTCCTAGAGATGACATTTGAGCTGGGTATAGAAGGACAAAAAGGACTTTGTGGTTCAATAAGGTTTGGAGAATCCATCATCACAATACAGCACACAACTACCAGGCAAGGCATTTGCTCCAGGCTGGCCAAAGGCACAGATGCGAGAATGTTCTGAGAACTGTAAGTGAGCCTGCAGCCTACACTAGAGTGGGAGAAGAAAACAAATGGGTAGGGGCCAAACTCTAACAAGCTACAAATGCCTGATGGAGAAGCAAGGTCACTAGTGGAAGACAATCAGGAGTCATTCAGTTCTTGGGAGGAAGGGACTAACACTCAAATCTGAGTTCAGTGATTCAACAGCAATTATTGAGTACCTCCTATTACATTCCACACATTACAACACGGATGGAAGGGGGGGAAATAGGGGAGAGATGAAGCAAACTTTGTACTTTAATTGCTTTCGTTGCCCTTCCAGGGCTTAGCATAGTATCAACATGTAACAGGCACTTGCTTGCTCAGTAAATTAAATGTCAGTATGAGTTTCTTTTTAGGTTGAACTAAAACACAGTAAGGTGACTATATCTGAAACTCCCCAGAGAACCTTCCACTTTCTTCAAACCAACCCCTCTGGGAGAGAGGTCAAGGGAGGGGCAGATAGTATTCAAGCCTCCTCCACAAAAAAAATACACAGCCAAGCCCTTGTCTGCAATTCAGGGCACCTAGGAGCTAGGCAGGTCCTCTGGGGCCTTGTTTCTGACCACCTCCCCCTTTGTGGAGGTAGAGTAGATCTCCATCTATGGGGGAATCTGGGGACCCACATACCATCATGCTCTCAGCTTCAGTATATGGGTTCACCCAAGAGAAAACTATCATCAAATAAAAAAGGGGTGGAGAAGATGACCCAAGGAGGGGGTGGGGTTAGGCGGTTGCTAATCAGTTTACAATGATGTATTTCCCTAAGGAAATTAGCCAAATGCATTTCCATTTCTCTAAGGCCTGGTCCACTTTGTGACTGTGGG